ATTTTTTTTTCTTTTCTTTCTTTTTTTTTTTTTTCATCTTATGTTTCTTTACGGTCTTAATCCAAGTAATATCCCAATTCCCAGTTTTTCATTGTAGAAATATACCCAAAGCTAGTTCTCCTGTGATGTCTGGTCATATTACTACCATTAGCTTCCTTGAGCTGTATTCCAGATTTGAGTATTTTACCTAACTTGTCTTTAGCCAGGTAATAAAGTCAGTTTCACTGTTGCCCATTTTCCTTTGTCTTTTTTTTCAAATGTCTTGTTATAGTCCTGAAAATCCAGATTAAATATTTATCAGTCATAATGCTTTAATTCTTTTTCCTTTCTTTTCGCTGTTTCTGTCCATAGTTGCAAGCCCTCACACATGACATACTCCTTAGCTTATCAGTTTGACAGTGCTCAGAACACTTATTTACAGTATGTTTAGTCTCAACATGGCCAGTTACTGTTACAATTACATATAAACAGGGTTGTTTTGTGTTTCTCTTCCTATAGATACCAGTTCTCACTTCCTTTATTAAAATGCTTTATATCTCTAAATACTGAAGATAGACTGCTTAAATTGAACTTTCCTGTTTTTCTCCTTTTTTTTTGTTTCCTCTAAATAGTAAACTTGTTCTATAAAGGGCCAGAAAGTAACTTTTAGGATTTGTAAGCTATAGAATCTCTTGCAGCCTGTCAGGTCTGCCTTTGTAGTGCAAAAGCAGCCATAGATAATATACAACCTAATGAGCTTGGCTAGGGTTTAAGAAAACTTTGTATATGGACGCCGAACTTTGAATATCATGATTTTCACATTTGTGGGTCTTTTATTGATCATGTTTAGGCCTCCTGCCCCCCACCCCTACACACACACATCCCACTGTAGCCAAATAAAACGAAAGTTATGTTTGGCTAATAGGCTGTAGAATGTCCCCACCCCTGCTCTAAATCCATTGTTTTGAGTATGCTCCTATTGTTTAATCCAATTACTTGCTGTTACCTTAATATGCATTGCGTACCTAGCTGCAGGGGAAAATGAAAGGACAGAATCTTTAATCATAGCAGAGCTAAAATAAGTATTAAATGCCAGCCAGTTTTTGGGCCTCTGAGGTTTTAAATGTAAAGTGACATAGATTTTTAAGATGTACTTGACAAAAATCTCTTTAGAATAAAATATATTTGAGATTTATATGCAATATTCCATTTATCAGTTGAGTAGATACTGAGAATGATACTTATTTTGTGTAATATTTGCCTGACTTGTAATTTACAAAGTTCTTCCCACACACATCATCGCACTTGATTTTCACAGTATCCTTGTGTACTAAGCTTAAAGGTTTGATCTCTGTTTTCTAGAGGAGGAAAATAGCAGGAGAGGTTAAGTCACTTGCTAGAGAGTAGCGGAACCTTGCAGGGCTTTCTCGTTCACTGAACACTCAGCTGGATTTTAGAAAAAGTATAGCATCACATTTAATTTTATCATTTACAAATGAGAAACCAAAAATTCATTGCTAGTAATACAGAGCACGCTCTCAGGATCACTAATCTGATTACCAGGTCAGTGTACTTGAGTACTTGAGTTTCTATTAGGCTATGTCTGATGTAGGGACAACTGAACTGAAATATATTAATATTTTTTATATTTAGATGTCATAATTTAAATTTTGTTACCTTAAAAAGTATAAAGTAGAATGTTTACATTTCTGTCAGCATGCTTAATGTCCAACCATCTATAGTTTAAAACTAAGGCTCATAGATTTCAGTACATGTGGAATGAATGCAAACTTAGCCTTTTTTCCTTTTCAGCACCAGCATTGGATGTTGATTGGCAGAGCAACAACACCTTTGCTTCCTGTAGTACAGATATGTGCATTCATGTCTGTAAATTAGGACAAGACAGACCTATTAAAACATTCCAGGGACACACGGTGAGAACCCTCCCTTTTTCCCCCCTTTGAAGTGATTATGATGAATAAGTAATATTTCAGAGTGGTTTTGAAGTATGTGTGTTTAACGTCCAAAGAGCAACCCAGTCTGTAAAATGAAAATGTGGTATTTACTGTTACTTTTAGAATGAAGTAAATGCTATCAAATGGGACCCAACTGGCAATCTCCTGGCCTCCTGTTCTGATGACATGACTTTGAAGGTAATTTGGATGGTGGGGAGAAGTGGGGTGGAGATGTCATACATTGTGGCTGCTCTGGCAATTTGAGCATTGTTTAGAATGTCTTATGGTTCACTGAGTGCTTAAATCTTTTTTTTTTTTCCTTTTATGAAGGATTTCAAATGTTTGAAAATAACATTTCCCATTAAAAAGGATGGCTGCATAATAATTATGATACTAAGAAATGTGCTGTTATAAATTGTGTTCACTGTTAGGAAGTCATATATTGTTACGATAAGTGTATTTAAACATGTAAAGATTTGACTAATATGCGATGAAGATCTTTGTAGCGTTCATAGATTTGACTGTATTAATTTGATTTTGCCTGTGGAGTTAATGTATATCATCCTTGCCGGGAAACTGATAGATAGCGGAGAGAATCCTTTAATTGTTGAGTGAACCTAGTTGACATGCCAGCATCCACAGCTCAACATTTATGTTTTTCATTATTGTGTGGCTAAAAGCAAAACTAACACCTATGCACATCACATACCACCAGTTAGCGAAAATAGGCATTTCTAGATAAAGAACAACCTAATACTAATCTCCAAAATTAATGAAGCCTTTTCCTATAACATGCTAACTACTGAAAATAATTGTATCCTTGACTTTGCAGTGCCAGTGACTAAAGACATGATGACCTTTTCAGTTAGCATAATCATTAGGGAAAACTGCTTTTCCTTCTCCATGAGCAGACTAAATGTAATCTTGGTAACCTGGTGATTTTCTTCCTTAAATACCTGCTGCATTTTTAGTTATTAGTTTTTTTCTCAAGCCTAGGCTCCCTTGCAAACATACCTAGTAAAAATGCATTTCTTAATGCTTTTCTCTCCGAGTTTACTTTTTATGCATGTGTATTATGCTAATAAAATGAAAAAAAAAAAAACTTCTGGAACAGAATGTCGCTAATATGAGAATATGAAGGAAGGCCTATGGTTAGAGAGCCTAGTGTCATAGATTGAGTTGCAGCTAGAGAGAGTTTGACTAGGAAGTGTTAGCTTTTCTTTGTCCTAAGAATAATAAAAGGTCATAAAATTTTAAAGCAGAAACTAGGAGATAATGTGTAGTAGAGCCGTATTCTGGGAACAAAGAACATCAGACAGGTAAGAAGATCATGTCAGGCTTGAACGTTGCCTTTGAGTCAGTCATGCAAGTAGAGGTGCTAGTTCTCTAATGCTCAGAGAACTCTCAGCTTGATATAAAAATTTAGAGTTTCTCAGCAGTTGTGTGGTCATTCAGAGCCATGGGCATAGGCAACTGTAGGTATAGAGTAAGAAAAGAAGGAAACTTTAAAAAAAAAAGTCTTGAGAAACTCCAGTTATTACTAGCTCGAGAAGAATAAACTTTTT